TCTAACTTGTGCTGTTTGCTTGGTATGACTGACTATATATCGAAATTATGAAAAGTTCATAGCTTAAGATTACATTTACAGTGTTACCCTAATGTGTGAATATTCACCAAACGAGACAATACCTGGTAACTTCACTATTTTTAAAAATTTGAATTTATAATGTGTAAAGATTAATTATTTAATAATAATAATAATATTATTATTATTATTATTTCACTTCTCAGATGCAAACAACTCATCTGTAGATCAAAGTATTGAAGACGAAAAAACAACCTCAGACACATCTCTTTTTACATTATCCGAGGTCGATATAACATTGACAGGTGGCGAAACCACACTGGTGAGTTTGAGTTTTGAGTTTGACTTTACAGTTGACCATTTTATTTATTTATTTATTTATTTTTAACTTTTTTCAGGCTCAACTAAGTGTTACACCTAGAAAAGAAGGCCGGCTAAAAGTAACTGGTGTGAGTTGGAAGTTATCTGATTCAATGGTTGGATTTTACGCTTTTGAACCGGATTTAATAAAAAAAAGAATTTCTAAAGGAAGAAGGAAAGCTAAACAGAACACAAATAAACTTGAATTTTTGGTTCATACTCTCTCTCTCTTTTTAAATTATGCAAATTGAAACCACGTTGTTATTTTTAATTTTTAATTTAAATTATTTTTTCTCTTTCCAGAGTCTACCCAGACTTGAGGGTATTATTAATAACCTCCCAAGTACAGTTTATACTGGAAATTTGCAACGTCTTTCACTCGAACTAAGAAACTCTTCAGAGATTCCTGTGAAGGTATATTATGCTTTCAATATTATGTACCTGATTTCCATAAAAATGTAAAAAAAATTGAACTTTCCCTCTTGTTTTCTCTTAATTAATTTCTTTCTCCTTCTAATGGCAGAATCTAAAGATGAAGATCAGTCATCCTAGGTTTCTAAACATAGGAAACCCCGAAAAATCAGATGTGAACTTTCCCTCTTGTTTGGAGAAAGAAAAAACACCTTCACAAAAAGACAAAGACGCAGATCTCGACACCACTAAGAAATCCGACACCATATTCCATTTCCCCGAGGTCAGTTTCGTCATTTCTCCAAAAGTTTATCCACATTTTTTTTCTCATCTATAATTGATTTTATTATATTTCTAGGATACAATAATTCACAAGGAAACTCCCTTTGTTCTACCTCTTTGGTTTCGGGCAGCAACTCCGGGAAACGTGTCTTTGTATCTGACAATATATTATGAAGTTGAAGACAAATCTACTGCCATGCGATATCGCACTTTGCGTACACATCATATTTTGGAGGTGAATATAAAACGAGTTTTATTTAATTAAATTGCGTTGGATTTTGTAACGATAAATAAAATCTTTTTTATAGGTTCTACCATCTTTGGATGTGTCATTCAATATCAGCCCATGTCCATCAAGATTACAAGAATATATTGTCCGAATGGATGTTATCAACAAAGGCTTAAAAAGTCTAAAGCTTCGTCAATTATCATCTGTTGGATCCGAATAGAAAATCTCCTTGATCGAATCCATTCAAGACATCATCCCTTCTGGAAACTTAGCATCTGGTCAATCTCTTTCTTGCTTTCTTAAACTCAAGGTGATTAATTATATTATATTACCTTTTACTCTTTCCTATAACACCAACATATTTTTAATTATTTCTTTCTTTCTACAGAATTGCAAAACGCTTTTACTCATGATCCTCAGCTACTATTTTTCATCCATACGCGTTGAGCCGTGGACATATCTTTTGCACGATGTGTGCTTGTTCATCGGGATCTGTTTTGATGTTTGAAGGGGTGAAATCTGCAAGCCCAAAGATGAAGTATTTGGTAATGCAGGACGCATAACTGAACCAGATTTACTTCTAAAACGAAGGTAAACAAGCAGCGTGTTTTATTGCAATAAATTCTTGACATATTTTCATTTTAAACGAATCTTACTGAGCATTAAGGTGGCATTTACAGGTTTAGAAAAGAATGGGAGGAAAGACTTACTGAGCATTGATGTGGCCGAGGGTAATTATGTCAATGCAATAGATG